AATGCTACAACGCAATCATGTATTCTGCTGTATTAAAGCTTTAATCAGGATAAAACCGTATATATTAAAAGCTTACATAAGCAGTAGCATTTACAAATAACGGTGTATCTAAAAGTATGAGACAACAACAAACAAAGAAACATACCATTCTGAAACGTCCTGTAAGAGTAGTGGTGGAAAGAGTACTAAGAAATTGTACTTAAGTAAAAGTATTGCTACTTAAGGAATAATTTACTTGAGTACAAGTAAAAGTACTGAAAAATAATATGACTCAATTAAGAGTAAAACAGTATCTCAAGTATACTCAAGTTACTGCGTTACAAAGTACTTTAGTAGTATTTTTCTATTTTTACCCAAAATGAGACGATGTGAGCATTCTGGAACAGGGTTAACCCTAATCCTAACACCCATGTACTGTAATGTCTGTTTCAGAAGTGAGACCCAGGAAATCCCTTATATGGACAAATGCATCAGATATCACTACAGCTGAATAACATGCATAGAGATGCTTTGACTGATGAAACGTGGAAGACAATAAACACACAATTGCAATGCAATGCCGTGTTTCCGTGGTAGCGAGCAATACTTGTTCACATCAAGAACGATTACTATAAAGATAATGATATAGTTGTACAAAAATGCTACAACGCATTTTTGTACAACGCATTGTATTAAAGCTTTAATCAGGATAAAACCGTATATATTAAAAGCTGACTCAATTAAGAGTAAAACAGTATCTCAAGTATACTCAAGTTACTGCGTTACAAAGTACTTTAGTAGTATTTTTCTATTTTTACCCAAAATGAGACGATGTGAGCATTCTGGAACAGGGTTAACCCTAATCCTAACACCCATGTACTGTAATGTCTGTTTCAGAAGTGAGACCCAGGAAATCCCTTATATGGACAAATGCATCAGATATCACTACAGCTGAATAACATGCATAGAGATGCTTTGACTGATGAAACGTGGAAGACAATAAACACACAATTGCAATGCAATGCTAATTGGCATAGCTTGTATCACAGTATAGAATTTTATAAAAAAATATATATTTTCTGTCTCACTGTAATAAGTAGCAAAATGGAACCACAGAAGCTAACTGTTTCAAACACGACTGATGTTATATAGTGATTTTGGAGCAAAACATGATATTAGTCTCATAAATTGTCACGTTTGACACTATGTTAAGCAAGCATACTACCTATCCCTGTTGCCAGGAGCAATTGTTTTATAACTAATTTTGAAAAGTACATTCACGTATAAGATTATGTGGTTATTTTTAAGAAGGGCAGCAGAGAAAACAGCCTGTGAGTCGTCTTGACTTGAATGGTTTAAAATCACATTGAAAGTGTAGTTATAATAACAAATGTGGTTTTATAATGCGTTATAATAACAAAGGTGGACTTTTTGGTAGGACAAAGGTGCAGGCACATTTTTGGTAGGACAAAAAAGAGCATTTATTTAACATGTTAACTCATACCTTGGCTTGAGAATCCAAAATCTATTCCAATTCTGGAATAGAATGCTTAAGGTGAGGAATCATCTACTTGTTATAAAATTACAATTTCGATTCCTCTTATCGATTCCTTTGTGCGCATTTTAATATGACTCTAAACCATTCAAGCACAAGAAGACTCGTGCACTGTTTTCTGTACTGCACACACAGGGGCATAGCCATCATTTCAGAAATGAGGGGGACAGAAATGTAAAAAACAAACAAACAAAAAAAACCTTTTGACTTTGTCTAATTGACAGGCTTTATTTTTTCTTATGTCTTTTAATTGGCTAAGAAATCAAATACACTGCTGGACGATAACCAATCATTTGTATTCTAAAATATTTTTTCTGTATTTTCCTAATGACAATTTTAGGATTGGTTTATACAAACACATAATAAGGCAGAATAGTTTCTATACTGTAATAAATTTGATGTCAATTAGCACTGCATTATTCATATACTATTTATTACCTGGAAATTACCTGAAATTACCTTTTTTTAAGCTACAGCAATAGCGGGATGCTTTTGTCCATATCAGGGATTTCCTGCATGTCACAAGTTATTACTTCTACTAGGCCGTTTTGGACTTTCTGCGCGAGAGCGCCCTCTGGCTTCGAGTATGAATGAAGCATGAGAGAGCCGTGCTTGCACAGGATCTGCGCGATTCTCTTCACTAATATTCTCTGCATCTCAGTCAGGCTCAAATTGATGAGCAATATTGACGACGCCATTGTTTACAATACAACTGGAGCACATGCCGCTGAGGTGAGGGGCTTGACGGTTTAGAAAAAAACAACACACTGGGCCAGCCCAACCAATCTGAGCCCATTGAGTATTTCTGGGGGAGGGGGTTCATA